CTGTCTAAACCAGTCTAACCCTGTATACACTAGCAACTGATCTAACCCTGTATAAACTTTCAATCTGTCTAAACCAGTCTAACCCTGTATACACTAGCAACCGTTCTGACCCTGTATAAACTTTCAATCTGTCTAAACCAGTCTAACCCTGTATACACTAGCAACCGTTCTGACCCTGTATAAACTTTCAATCTGTCTAAACCAGTCTAACCCTGTATACACTAGCAACCGTTCTGACCCTGTATAAACTTTCAATCTGTCTAAACCAGTCTAACCCTGTATACACTAGCAACTGATCTAACCCTGTATAAACTTTCAATCTGTCTAAACCAGTCTAACCCTGTATACACTAGCAACCATTCTAACCCTGTATAAACTTTCAATCTGTCTAAACCAGTCTAACCCTGTATACACTAGCAACCATTCTAACCCTGTATAAACTTTCAATCTGTCTAAACCAGTCTAACCATGTATACACTAGCAACTGATCTAACCCTGTATAAACTTTCAATCTGTCTAAACCAGTCTAACCCTGTATACACTAGCAACTGATCTAACCCTGTATGAACTTTCAATCTGTCTAAACCAGTCTAACCCTGTATACACTAGCAACTATTCCAATCCTATATAAACTTTCAATCTGTCTAAACCAGTCTAACCCTGTATACACTAGCAACTGATCTAACCCTGTATAAACTTTCAAACTGTCTAAACCAGTCTAACCCTATATAACTAGCAACCATTGTAGGCCTGTATAAACTTTCAATCTGTCTAAGCCAGTCTAAGCCTGTATACACTAGCATCTGATCTAACCCTGTATAAACTTTTCAAACTGTTTAAACCAGTTTAACCCTGTATACACTAGCAAATGATGTAACCCTGTATAAACTTTCAAACTGTCTAAACCAGTTTAACCCTGTATACACTAGCAACTGATCTAACCCTGTATAAACTTTCAAACTGTCTAAACCAGTCTAACCATGTATACACTAGCAACTGATCTAACCCTGTATAAACTTTCAATCTGTCTAAACCAGTCTAACCCTGTATACACTAGCAACTGATCTAACCCTGTATAAACTTTCAATCTGTCTAAACCGGTCTACCTCTGTATAAACTTTCAATCTGTATAAACCAGTCTAACCCTATATAAACTAGTAACATGTCTAAGCTGATATGAATTGGTTTAACCCTCGAAAAAAAAAAATTTCCGGCACATTTCCAAACATTTTCTGCACAGTATTGGTAGACATATCAAAGACTCACCTGATACGCTCTGTCAATATTATCACGGAATGGAAAGAATGCATCAGAACTCAGTGCTACACCTTTCAGTTTTGATAACCACTGCTCACGCTCAGACTGCAGAAAGAATAACAAAGCAATTATTGATAAATTTGAAAACTGATTTCAAAATACTGTATTCAATACAAACAATGAATTCAGAATTTATAAATAACCACAATGTATTCTGACGAAGATGAGTGAACTCTCCGAGAGTAAATTGAAGGTAACATGCATGGGAATCAAAGTACATGTAATTTCAAACGTTTTCGTTATTTGTATCACCATTCCAACCAATACCAAAAGTCATGGTTCAAACCTTGCTTGGCCAACTTTCCAATTGTTGCAGAAGAACTCTCATTTACTTCTAAAATTCCAAACCTTGACAATTGGTCAATCACTAAAGTTCAGAAGTGCTTGACACAGAAAATTAACAAAGAGACAAAGTATAGAGTGACACTCAACCAGGACATTGTGTCACATGACCAAGAGTGGTATAAATGCAGTTAGTACCTGTGTTAACTGTTCAGGTGGTTTCTCTAGCATACTCTCCCATGCAGACGTCTCCATATCCTACAAAAAAATAATTATTAAAATATTCACAGAAATCATAACAAGAAGTTATAATTATGTCACACCTTGTTTTCACGCCCAATTTAATTAGCTAATATTTTACAGATTAGGAGATTTGTTCCTTTTGTTTTATCCTGGAACATTGTATTTTGTCCCATGTTTACAGGGTTTTAGTACAGAGTTTACTAGGTCACTCGATACGTATGCGAGATTTGGATGATTGCGTATTTTATTTCATATTTCATAATCACATAGTTGTACCCAACGCGTCATCACGATAAACCGCGGGAATTCAAATTGTTGAGACTTTGTACTGCGTGCACGCAGTTGGATGCCACGAGACCGCCATTGGTAGAAACTTTCTTACCCGGGCGTTCAAGAAACATTTCAATTTCTGCCTGAATTAACTATCAAATCAGTGCAAGACCGTATTGCAGGAAGTGCCGAACACCAGAGCAACTGCAAGAAACCTGATTGAACAGCTGAAGCACACCCGGAGATGAGAGTCGCTGATGAACTTTCTACCCCCTTCCATGGAAATTGTCGCCCAGCTTCAAGTTTCACCTACATTTGCCGAGACGAACTGCTAACCATCGTGTGTTCCCGCTCCATGTAGTTTGAATTCAACGATAACTGTAAACAATCGCAACCGACGAGCGTGGGTTATTTAGTATATTGTATCATATGATTTTCCCCCTGTGTTACACTATCACATTGGATGAGTTTAGCATGAGTATGGATTTATAACGTTGCATCAGGAATTGTATTGCAATTTAGTTGTTGGCTATTTTTGAATTCCACAAAATGGACAATTCCCCGCGCCGTTATAATTGGAGTATTTGCGTTCGATTGACCAAGTATACCGATATATAGTCATCCATTCAGTGATATGTTTTACTCAGATTTATTCAGTATTTTGCTTTTATACGATTTACATGAATACTGTTGAACTGTGTTGTATTTTTATGCAGTAGATCATTTAGTCCTGTAGAGGTCAGTGACACTGAGTGACCTTGGATACGGTAACTAAGCAAACTAGGTGAAGTCAGTTTTACTGTGTGTCCACGTTATTACGAGTTGTTAGTGACGGAACTAGTCCTGAACTATTTCATTTTATGTTCTCCATTGTTCCTATATTGTTCAGTGGATATATACTCCATTTGACTGTTGCTATAGAGACGAATAGCATTGAATATCTGAGACATATCAGCTGCTATAGGAATTATTATGACATTGTGTGATTTACTATGTGCTCATTGATGACAGTGTCAAATAACGAATAAACAACACGTCCTGACTTCTCGGGGCTTTTGGTCAATGTATTTGATGTGTCCTTGCATGTTATATTTTTATAATTATTATCATTAGGATTACAGTGCCCTCTATGGTCGCAACTGTTCTCAAGTCCAGACAACAGAATTATACCGAATCAAGGAAGTACGACGATAAAGCTTATTGTTTATTTAAATCATATTTGTTTGCACAGTCTGGAGTGTAACAATTATATTTATGTTAATTTCTAAATTACATTACAGTGTGGTTTATATTTGATCAAGTCAATTTAAAGTACATGGTCTGACAATAATGCACAATAATAGCCAGCCAGCCACACAGGAGCACTCAATAGAATCCAGTCTCACCTGTCCAACTGTTCCATTTACATAATTGTCAATTGCATTAGATTTCTCAGCTCTCTTTACTCCTTTCTTAAAATGCATTCCAAGTACTTTGGGATGTTGACGTAACCACCTAGCAACAGAATATAGAAAACTTTCTTCAAGTCAATGCATTCCAAGTATTTTGG